ATATATTAACGGCTTATTGACCGAGCGTGAGGTCTGTACTGTGAAATATCAGACCGAGGTTTTTTAGTATGGACCGAGCGACGAAGGAGCGAGGTCCATGCAAAAAACAGAGGTCTGATATTTCACAGTACAGACCGAACAAGCGAGGTCAATAATCGGTTTATTATATGGCTGAACTGAGTCTGTGAGCATATGCTTTTCGCGCGAAATTAAATCGGCTATCGTTAGTTTCACTGGTAACAATATACGGTAGGCATGCATGCTCAATCAAAAACAATTTGGTTGTTTGAAATTTTTATCTGTAAATTTTAATGACACATAATTGGAAAATTAAAAAGCAAAATTTTTTTCTGTTTGCAAAACAAAAATTTCCCGCCAGATAAACGACATCCGGGACATCGGTCCAGATACGGAAAATACGGACTACGGTCCGGATATGGCTTTTTACGGACCGCTTGTCAACCAATCAGAATAGAGAATTTTGAAAAGCCATATAATAATTTGAAGTATTGCCACGTTAACTTCTATAGAAGGTTTTAATTTGTTATCATATATCCTTTATTTATTGACATTCAACTACAATAAAAATTTCCATATTTTACTTTCCATACTTCACACCAATTAAAATTTCCACACTGTTAATTTCAGGGAATTAATTTAACTTTTAACTTTTATTACTCTTCATTTGGAGTTAAATTTGGTTCAAAATAACTCTGCTGGGAGTTAAATTAACCCGCTTTAAATTAACAGCTGCAAATTTGGGCAAGGTTTGTCGAAAAATCTTACTGTATAAATTCACGTGTCTTCCAACGTTATTTTTTACTTAGATTCGCAGGACTCCCTTCCATCTTTCCTGACGCAAAACAACAAAATCAGGACATTTTCATGTCTCTACATGGGCTCGTCCCTATATTTTTATTAATTTTACAAAATTAATAAAAATCGAAATCTGATATTAGCGAGAACAAGTCATCAACTTTATACGGAGTAGAGAGGCAGTGATTCTATAGAAAGCAAACGGCTGGTTTTACTGATCAGTGAAATATCAACTATCTCATCCAGTATGAAATCTGAAATTTCTATTAAAGCTAAGTAAACGTACTCATACTGTAGTCGTATTAATACCACAAACATAACCGGGGTCATTTTTTTGGATTATGCAGTATTTTATACATACAGCTATAGGTCCCGGTCATTATTTGTTACAGAAACCACTTTAATAAGAACAATATAGTTCGAAAAGTGATTTCTTTTTTTACATGTACGAATAAACTACGCGCAAAAATATCGTGTTTATATTGCGAGAAGTTAAATCACGTTAAGGTTCTTGACAAAAGTAAAGTAATCAATTATGAGTTATGGAGTTCTAGTACATGGCTGATGTTTTGAATTAATTTCAAGCAACACTAAAACATATACTTAAGAAAAAATAACAGTCATTTAAAGCATGATCTCATTACATAAAACAGACGGTATACTTTTAAATTATATAGTACCAAGGATCAATTGCTCACTTCTGATTCTCAAAAAATTCTTTCCACTTTTCTATTTCTTTTTCCAAGGCACTGACTCGATTCTTGAGAAAATAATTTTCTTTCAGCATTCTCTCTTCCATTATATACAATTGCTCGTGGCGAGTTTTCCTTGCCTTGCGAAATTTCTTGCATGCTTCGTTGTTTCTTGTTCTTTTCCCACTCATATAATCCTCCTGTTGTTCAGGGCAAGAAAGCATGCCACAAGTTTGAGCAGTAGTAGTTCCTTCAAAGTTTTCAGTCACGTACTCGCTCTCAGATGTTGATATAGGGAAGCCAATGAAAGAAGACCTACGGTTGCTACTTGAAGTATCCAGATTAGTATGAGCATCAAATTTCCCATCTATGATGTCCAGATTGACAGAGCCAGAGGGAAGTTGAGAATTTTCTGTTGAAAACCATTCTACATTCTGAAATAAGCACTGCTCCTTTGTGACATTCATTGATGAATATTCCACAGCATCTTTCCAAATACTTTCTGCGTTTAACCGAAGTTCCTTGATCTTGTAGTTTGGGGACCCATTGGCTAGCAGACCATACGATTGAACATGATCCCCAAATGAAAACTCTAAGCCTAAGCCTAAGGATAAAACACCACAAATGAATACCATTAAAATACAATTATACAATTACTTCGTGATCCCTTGCACTTTAGTTTAATAATATGCCACAATACTTATATTGAACAATAATTTGATAGATGTTAAGGAACTTTTAGAGTAAGGCGTGATTGAGGCACAGCTTACGAAGCAAACGAAAATATAACCTTAAAATATGTTTGTCGTTTCCCTTGTGAATGCTTCAGAAAATATCAGATCAAATGCAGTAAATGCCATATTAAATAATGATTATTAAATAAAATGTAAGTTAAAGTTATCAATATTAGCAAGCACGACATGATTCTGTACAAAGTAATAGTACATGCAGTATGCCAATGATGCCACAACATATGCATTTTATACAATGCAGGCCTTAAAATATCTTTTTTATAGGGCCGTCTGACAAAATGTCCGATGACTTTGAGTTTGGGTCGGACATATGTACGATGATGTCCGATAACCTTCAGTTCAGTTTGGCTTGGAAATAAGTCTAAATGACGCAAATTAATATCAGCACAATATATTAATTCAGAACTAAATGTTGTGAAAATATTAAATAATTTGTGTCATTTATACTTATTTCCAAGCAAAGATTAACTTGCTTGCCAATAATAGCAGTACGACTTCGACAACTTAAGCCCGTTTTCCACTTCACCATTTCGCTCGCCGCCCCGTGCTCCGGTGGTGACATTATTACAAAACAACATTTCCGGTTCATTTTTGTACAATACTCTGGTTCTCCATTATGACATACGAGCCTCTAGTCCTGTACTAGGGTATATTTTGCTACAGTTCTACAGTTCTACACAAAGTTTGCTACAGTTCTACACAAAGGGACAGTTCACTCAGGTCGGACAAAGAATAAACTTCAGTTTCACTTAGGTTGGACAGAATGTCCGGTGGTTTCCTCTCTACGTCGGACAATTTGACGAATGGGTCGGACAATGTCCGTGACCGACCGATATTTTAATGCCTGTATACAATCTATTTTGTTCTGTGTAGGATTCCTTACAGCTCTACTGATAGAAAAGGATAGAACTGATAGTTATAACTGTTACACAACAATGCTAATCAACACAATTAATTCATTATGATCTTAGAAAAAGTATGAGCAGTAATGTCAGTCAAATAGAACAGGACTCATAGTCCCGGGACTCTTTATTCATTTCATCAAATGACTACATGTTCTGAAAGATTTGCATAACTTAGAGCCTTACACCCCGTATATACGGTACCGGACGCATTTGGAACTGGGGTGAAATTCTGCTGTTTCAGCAGTGTATAAAACACACAAGAACCACGGAACCGGACGAATTTGAGACCCCCTAACAGGACGAATTTGTGTGTAAACAGGCGAAAAAGGACGAATTTCAGACCAGTCCCAAATTTGTCCGGTACCGTGTAAACAGGGTCTTAAACGGACACCCAAACCCCTTTGGCATACATGTTGAACTTTTTTCCCCCTTCCCCGAAAGACCAGAATATTTCATTAAGTGTCCGCCCACAAGTTTTTTTATTTAAAGAACATGCTGATGAGCCCTGACTCGAAACAGTCAGTATTATAGAAAATAAAGAAATAAAATACCAGACACCATCATATCGGGTAACAATGAATAAATTAATAGTGCAGTAACTCCCCCCACAGACAAGGAGGGAATACCCGCCACCCCACAGACAAAAAGTAAAACACATAGTAGCAAGAAAAATTTTTGACTAACGTACAAAAATTCCTAGATCCGCCCCTGGGACTAATAAACAAACTCAAATGGGTAATACTTTTAGTTTGGGAAAATGTCAACTATGGTAAAGTCATTCAACTATGGGTTAATGTGAAATTCAAAGCATTCCAGCAGCTTCTTATAAAACTTGGAAATATTTTTTCAGAAATCTTGTCTGGATCATCAGAAGTTTAATTTTCTAAAGTTTTGAAATAAACAGATGCCCAGATATATGCGAAACCAAAGCAATGGGTTAAATATAACCCACAGCTAGCGCTAGCTAATCAGGGCCCGCAGTAATTGGTTTATACTGTTGTGGTGTCCCCGCCATTCGTTGTTAGATTCAGTGACGCATATGTTCGCTGTTATATTGTCATGTTTGTGTTCACGTTTTATCTTGGCAAAGTTTAATAAATAAATAAATAAATTGAACAACTTGCAAATATATATTACTCACTGAGTTGCAATCTGAGGGAGTAGAATATATATTTCTGAAGGGCCCCCAAATTTGTAAGTTCAAAGGGTTCTTGAAAATTGCATTTCCAAGGGAATTTAACAGAATTGAAAAATTTCTGAAAGGGCGAGGAAAAAATTAAATTGGACGATTTTCCAATTTTCCAATTATCACTAACAATTGATTTTCGGGGGGGGGTCATGGAAAGATTTCCGAAGGGGGTTTCTTGTCATCGAACCTCGTCAACAGACATGTATTTCCGAGGGGAATGAGAAAAATTGGAAATTTCCAAGGGTGTTTGGTAAGAGTTTTGAAGTGCAATGGCTAAAAACATTTCCGAAGGGGTCTAAAATAAGAGACCTCGTCCACAGGGGAGTGTCGATATCAAATGGAATAGCCCAGAGCTATAACCAACAGAGCTACAGCTAGAGGCCAGTTGTCAAGCTCTAACCACACGTTCGCGTATGTACTGTATATATTCACGAAGGTGTATTGGTAAATATCAGGATTTTGGGCATCTACACTTAATATAAACTAATTTGTAGAAGGAATTTGTCGCAGGAAATTGCGAGTGTGAATATTTATATGTGTATTTGTATGATTATATAAAAGAGAAGAGTTGGCATATTACAACAAAAACAAACTAGTATTCTACGATTATTGTTTTTGCTCACAAAATCGTCGCCATAGCCATGAACTAAATAAATGTATAAATACCTCTGTCAAAGACAGCGCTCGGATTCGTGAGCTCGTGTGGCACAGATTTCACTAAGAGGGACAGTCGAGCATGAAGAAACGTGTTGCTGAAGTGGTTTTAACTTGATCATATATTTCCCTCCAACATCAAATGCTCCGTCAAATGGCACTTTGTCGCCTTCCCACCTGAAACAGTTCATCCTTGTGTAGTTTAGTTCAAACTGGTTTTTGTAAATTAAGTTGAACAATTTACAAAATCTCTTTAGTCTTTACTGCTGACTTTACAGTCTTTTACAAGATGGACGATTGAATCAGATTGAATGAAGTTCAGTGAATAAATTATTTACAGACACTGATCGGCATAAACAGCTGGAGTTACACCACAATTTTTAGCCTTTGAATTACTGCAATAATTACAAGAAAATAAAAATTAAAGCTTTATATATACATATCAAATTATTATTTACTATTTATTATTACAGATTTTCAGTGAGGTGGATTCCAAATTTTAATTGGTATAAGTCTCACACCCAGAGCTGTGCTGCTACCCAGGGAGCAGGGCAGTGGTGCAGGGTTGGTACGAGATTTCCCAGGGCCTTTTTACTGAATTCGTCCGTGGGGAGGGGGGCATCTACAAAAAGGGCCTTTTTTTAAAAGGGACCATACTACTTTGAGTGTAGCAGATGACAGATGTTGGTGACAAAAAAAATTGGTGTGGTGTTGTATCACTTGTATGTATTACAGTATTAGTTAAGGGGGTCTGGGTGAAAGTTTTTGTATTTTTCCACCCTTTAAAGACTACATTTCGTACATTTTGTGAAAAAGATTTTTAGATATACAGTGTTTACATTATACTGTAGATAGATTCAATCTTCAGTACTTGCATGATATGTTTATGTAAATGTACCACAACTCAGTCACTAACGTCCGTTTAGCCTAGCCTAGCTTCCAACAACTCATGCAAATCTATAGGGTATGGGATATGCTATCCACTTGGAAATTTTTAAAATGATCGAAGGTATTTACAACACAATGTTTAGCATTTTTAAAAAGACATTGAATCATTTAAAGATATAAAAAGACATGACATAAGCACAGACATAAGATTCACAAAGCAAATCAGTCAGTTACTAGAATATCAAACTCCTTTCTAAATTCCATTTTTCTTCCAATGTTTTCTTTTCTTTTTAATTTGGATAAAAGGGACTTTGACTGGGGGGCGAAATGGTTGAGGGCTTCTGGTCCAACGAGGATGGGACGTTCGCCCTGGTCCCTGGCCTGGTGAGCAACTCGTTTGACCTGTTTTCAATTCTTCTTGCAACAGTTTATACCAAAGTTGCATGGTGCCACATCCGTCCTTTACGTCATTGTATGAGTGAATCGAATTTAGGCATTTTGAAGCAATTTCTAGCCAATATGAATGCGAGATTACATCCAAACGGAAGTGATGAAACTTTTAATGACACTTCACATGCCTTGATGCCTGTTGTGCTATGTAAACACAAAGAAAGGCACCGACTTTGTGGCTGACTCACTTAGAATATATTGTAGGATTCTCTCCTGATAAATGAAGTCTGTATCGAAGTCATCGATATTGTTTCGACAGAATGGTCTTGGGGAATTACTTTCGAAGTTTGTCACTGAAAACGGTAGTGTAATTCGTCGCTTTAATAATTATGTTGGGGTCAAACAGCACAAATTGTCGCATTTCTGTTGTCAGAAAACACCTTCTGTGATAACTACATGCAGCAATAAGGTCAGTACTAACTTTATGCAAACTTATATAATGCAAGACCCTTGGCCTAATATATATCACTGGAGATTACTAGCAGGGGATTAGATTTAGAGTCATTGGACCTTTTAAATTGGGTATCAAGATTATCCCCAGATGGATAATCATTAAACTTCAATTCTGTAATTCTTTCAAAACTGGGGGGAGGGCATAACTTAAAGTTTTCATCTATAAAAAAACACCAAGTCTGTGGCTTTAAGATTACCATAAAATGTGTCTAAATGCATGAAATAGTGTTTTCGCGGACCCTAAAAATAGCAAAATGTTCTGTGCAGCCATGTCCCAGGAGGGCCAGCCAATTAGACCCCCCCCCCTTTACTCAAGGATGGCTGGACAACTAGATCCCCCATTGTTTGGGGCCGGCTCTGCCCCTGTATCCCAGGAAGAGAAGGATTGGGATATACGGTGTAATTTTAAAATCGCACTCCTTGGAGTTGTTATTGGGTTTGTTACCCTAATTCTTGCGAGGCTGTTTGTACTAAGAAACAACTAACATTTAGTTTTCTCAAATTAAAGAGGCGGTCAAGTCTGTTCGGCAGATGTGCAGTTTGTTTACATGTTGAAGTCACTATATATTCATAAAATATAATGTACTTACTGTAGTTAATATGTACAGGGGCGTAGGAACCAGGGGGGGGGCAGCCCCCCGAGTTTTTCCAAGTGCCCTTTTTCCGGGAGCAAAGTGCCCTTTTCTTGCGTGAAAAATGTCTTAAGGGTTGCCTTTTTTTTACCTAAAGGGCACTTTTGAAAACTTGAATTTATGTTGTTTTCCGAAAAAAATTTTCATTTCCCAGGAAAATATGATATATCCGGAAATTTTTTTGGTATATCTGAAAATTTTTTTCCATATTTGGGAAAAATTGTGTAATATCTGGAAAATTTTTTTTGGTGTGTCTGGAATAGATTTTTGAGACCTCCCCCCTCCTCCAATCCTCCCCCCCCAACCCCCGTTGCCAACTTTTCCAGGAAAAATTTTTAGATGCCCTTTTTTATTCGGAAAGTGACCCTCAAAGCCTGGCCCCCGACTTTTAGAAGCTTCCTACGCCCCTGAATATGTAATATCTGGTTTGCCGACTATGCTTTTAAATTACTATTATATTAGATTAGAATTTCAATTAAGAAGATGTTGATTGAAACAATGAAACAACATATCATTATTTATTGCTTCCATTTTGTTTCCAATGAATTTTGTTATATTAAAGGTGATCTACAGTCCGATCTGTGCATGACTGTGCACAAATGAGCCCACTTTTTATGATACAAACAGTTTAACTATGTTTTGAGTTCTTGAAAAGCCTGATTGTTGTTTCTTGATCATTTATTATACTCTAGAAGCTTGAAAATATAAATAGTTGTCGAATAAAGCTCAATATTTTGGACACAAAAATGTAAACAAAGGCTTTGTTTACATACGGACTGTAGATCACCTTCAAAGTTTGAAACTTTATATTTTTAACAAAGCACAGGTATGTAATGCAGCTTTTGTTTGGATGCATAGTTTCAGAAATATTATTCAACAAACTCCAATACTTCCAGCCAGCAAAGTGGCAGTACACCAACACACTTCAAAGATCTGGTGGGAAAACATCCTCTTGCAGAAGTTGAAGAAGAGAAACAGATTGAGCGAATGAAATCAGAAGATTATATTTTACCCCATCCAATATGGTATGTTGTTAACATTTTAGTGAGATTCTGTAAATATTTAATTGCAAATTCAGCGGCGTGGAATTTGCCACAGATTCCCTTATCAACACAGATTTGGAAGAAGAAGAATTTATTCGCACCAGTCAAAAATACATAATTACAAATTTTTTCCACACATTATTAAAACAGAGTTGGCACAGGATATCTGAAATAGCTTTAACACCAATCGAAGTCAGATAACCTTATTAAAGTATTCGAGCCACTGTGGGTCAACATTGGGTTTAAGGTCATGGTGCACAATGATTATACAGAATAAGATGCAAATTAAAATTTATAGACATATGCAAAAACAAAAGCAAGCATAAAGCCAGTAATCATTAATTATAAGTTTGATTTTAGTTAATTTGAAAGCAAATGAAAACAGAAATAAGAATAAAGATAAAGCTAGTATTCATTAATAAATTTGATTTTAATTTTTTTTTGAAGACTGATTTGGTTAGTATTTTCAAGCTATCATCTATATCATTCCAAATATAGGGTCCCTGTGATCGGATAGAAAATTTACCGTAATTTGTTCTTACAATTGGTATACAATAACTAATTGTTGTTGCTAGTCTAACTAGTACTGTACTTGTGTTTATCACTATAACGAAAAAGAAAAAATCGTTAAAGACAGTAGGGAGTCTATTTGTATAGAAATCGTGCATAAATAATAAGTTGGACATCTTTATTATATCAAAGAGCTTTAAAAGACCAAGATTTTTGAATAAAGGACTAGTAAGTTCATCATATCTTGAGAAAGTGATTATACGTACTACTCGTTTCTGTAAGAGCACTAATGATTTCAAGGAAGAATAGTAGGTGTTTCCCCAAACTATGGTTCCATACGTAAGAAAAGGGTATATCAAAGAATAATAAAGCTGAAGAAGAATGTTAAATGTAACATAATATCGTAATTTTGAAAGAATGCCTTATCAACAGTAAAATTACAATAATTTCAATCAACACCATAAGCATACAGGAGGGAAAATGGGGGGGGGGGGCATGGGGGTCTGGCAAAAATTTTCCTGTTGTTTCCAAGTAATTTTTCTTTAGCTTATATAAATCTCTCATAGTTTCTGTCAGCGGGAGGGCGCTGGGGTGTTCGAAACATTTTCGAGACGTCAGTTAAGACTATGTACTATAGGCCTTAGAGACTACATAATAGAGACAATAGACAGAAAGCATGTATGTGGAGAGCTTGAAGAATTGGAGTAATATACCCAAATTCATCACGCATATTTTTAAAGCCGAAAGAAATCTGTACGTGTATCGCGCTATATATCGTTTATATATAATAATGCGCAGCCGCAAGTGGAAGCGTGGTTTATTGCAGTTTTATAATCTCCGTTAACACAGATATTAAAATTATTCACGACTTACCAAAGGTTTTCAACACAACATGTAGTACTGGTACTGGTTTTGTTTACTTCCGCAGTACCTGCATGCGGCCGCATGCATACAAATACAATACAGATATCGTTGATAGTTCAAGGCATGATACAATTATGTTCTCAATCATCATCCCAAGCGCCCTCGCTGAAGCAATTAAAGTGCTCTGACTGAAGACATAGTTCACTTTGGACGATAGTAAACGTTTGTTGCTTTGTCTAAGCAACGGATAAGGCTTACGCAGTTTCATACTGACCGCCCATCAAGCGAATTGAAACCCATGCCCACTAATCGACAAGCAGAATTTAAGTGCGGAATGATACTCTAGACTCTAAAGACATTTATAGATCTATTCAAGACCTTTCAAGACTTTGACCCAGGACAAATCTAGACTTTTTCAAGACAAATGTGATATAAAAGTCTTTCTAGACAATTAGAACTGCACAATTGTCTAGCAAAGGCCTAGAATTGGTCTTGAAGACCTACACCTGTATATGGCTATAATACAATACAATACTAAAGGGTTATTGATCAAGCGTGAGGTCTGTACTGTGAAATATCAGACCGAGGTTTTTTAGTATTGTTATAATTTATTTAAATATTCATGTATAATTAATAACTTAGTGTATATAAGTAATGCATGTGCTGTTCAATAGTTAGTTAATAAAGTTTTAATCAAACCAGCAAGTTACATGCAGTATTACATTGGCGACGAGGATGGGATGATACGGTGATACTTTAATATGTTTAATGCCATTCTGACTCATAAATAGCTCAAATTTACCGCTTGAAAAGTTAGTCCCATTGTCACTCACGACTGTCTTGGGTAATCCATGGGTCGCAAAGATTTCTCTTAACTTTTCGATTGTAGCTGTAGAAGTAGTTGATTTCATCACGTGTATTTCCAACCACTTTGAATAGGCGTCTATTAGCACAAAGAACATTTCTCCTTTGTACGGTCCAGCATAATCTATATGAACTCGTGACCATGGCTGTCCTGGCCATTCCCAGGGATGCAGTGGTGCCTCTGCTGGTGTCTTCTGATTCTGCTGACATCTTCCACACTGCTTCATGTGTTCTTCAATTTCTTGGTCTAGTCCCGGCCACCAAACATAACTACGAGGCAAAGATTTAGTTCTGGAAATTCCTGGATGAGCCTCGTGCAATACCGCTAACACCTGTGCTCTACCTTTCGGAGGTACAATTACTCTTGTTCCCCATAACAGGCAGCCATCTTCCACACTTATTTCTGTTCTCCGATTGAAATAAGGTTGTAATTCTTTGCTAGGACAGGCAATGTTCGGCCAATTTCCAAGGGCATACTGATGAACCTTGGAAAGTACTGGATCTCGTCTTGTCCAATCACGAATTTGGCCAGAATGCAAAGGAATTGCTTCCAGAAGTTCCATGAGCTTTATGGTGTCTCCGGGTATGGACGTTTCCTCCAGCATTTCTGGGAGTGGTAATCGACTTAATGCATCAGCATTCCCGTTCATTGTTCCTGCTTTATACTGTATGTCATATTCATACGCAGCAAGCGTTAGTGCCCATCGTTGAACTCTGGGTGATGCCTGTGATGAGATCCCTTCTTCTCTCCAAATAGACCTTCAAGTGGCTTGTGGTCAGTTCGAATGGTAAATCTCTTGCCATATAAATACTGATGGAATTTTTTCACCCCAATGATCATCGCCAGTGCCTCCTTGTCAATGGTTGAATAGTTCCGCTCAGCTGGGTTGAGTGAACGTGAAACATATCCTATAGGACGCTCAGTTCCATCGGGCATTTCGTGAGATAACACAGCTCCTATTCCGTAATTCGAAGCATCGCCGGCCAAAACAAGCTTCAGATCGGGGTTGAAGTGTATCAGTAGATCGGCAGATTGCAACAGTTCCTTGGCCTTCTCGAAAGCTTTCTGCTGCTCTTGATTCCATTTCCACTTTTGCCCTTTCCTAAGCAACTCGTGCAGTGGTTCTAAGATGATCGCCACATTCGGTAGGAATCTATGATAATAATTCATCATTCCAAGGAATGCACGAAGTTGGGTCACATCTCTGGGTGCAGGTGCGTTCTTTATGGCGTCGAAAGGAATGTTATAATTTATTTAAATATTCATGTATAATTAATAACTTAGTGTTTATAAGTAATGCATGTGCTGTTCAATAGTTAGTTAATAAAGTTTTAATCAAACCAGCAAGTTATTACAAGTATGGACCGAGTGACGAAGGAGCAAGGTCCATGCAAAAACAGAGGTCTGATATTTCATAGACTTGCTCCAAGTCTCTCTTTCATTGTCCTATAGTATCGGTCCACTATAGTGTACATTACACATGTAATGTACACTATAGTGGATCGATACTCTATGACAATGAAAGAGAGACTTGGAGAAAGTCTAGATATTTCACAGTACAGACTGCAGATCGAACAAGCGAGGTCAACAATCGGTTTATTCAGGGGCGGATCTAGGATTTTTCGTACGTTAGTCAAAAATTTCGTTGCTGAACATTGGGGGAGGGGGGTACTTTTGACTGGCGGAGGGGGTACTTTTGACGGGGGGTAAGAGGGGGGGGGGGTTGCCAAGCAAATTAATATTTTTTATATGTGTTCTGTTTACGAAAAAATGTAACTTAAAAAATTGCTTTTTGGCCAAATGTCAAACAGATATCCAATTCTCATCGAGAAATAGATTGACAAGGATGACTTGACGTTTTAAAAATTGTTATTTAATGGCATATTTTTTCCTTTGACATGGATGGTAAAAAAAATGCAATATAGTGATGCAGTTTAAAACATTTGATTGATTGTTAAGCAGGAAGAGAATTTCCAAGCAGAAACATGCGCCATAAATAGCTAAGTATTCATCATGGCAACATGATCCATTTTACTTGTTGTGTACATGTTGTAGAGATCGTATTACACAAGGCCATGCTACATTGTCGTGTTCTTGTAGTTTAAAATATTAAATAGGTATAAACAGTGTTATTAAGTAGCGATCTGATTAATATATAAAGTCTACATGTCACAAGAAGCATAAACAAAGTATAAACACACTGAAACTGCCTGTATTAAGCCGCAGTATTTATATAAATTGACGAGAAATATTATGTAAATTTCATCTCGTATTATTATACGTCTTATACGCGTACCCGCCGATATTATAGCATGCATGTGTCACATGTGCGTACAGACGCACAATCCACCACAGTATACAACAGTTATAATGCTATATCTAGTTAAAATAGAATATATATATCTTAATTTAAGGCCGTACAAAAGATTTTTGTCTTCTCTCGAACGTACTCCAGGATGTAAGATTCCGCACCAAAATTTCGTGCGAGGAAGGCTGCTTATGTTATTCACAAGTCACAACGCTCAATAAATTAAGTCAAAATTTTAATAGAAAACTTCGGTACACCGTTATCGCTTGTTTAATTAATCAGCTTCAATATCTTTGACATTTTGTCGATCGTATTCTCTAAAGCAGCCTTTACAGTTTCGTAAATACTAACAGACATGGCTGGTATTAGTTCAGAATTTCGGATCGTAAATCTTCCCATTGAACTTTAATAATTTGCGGTCAAGCACAAAGTAGCGATCAGAAAGGGCCAGAAACGTCATAGACCTTTCCGTGCACCAATGAAGCCTGAACGGTATGATCGATCAAAAAAATCCAGCCAATGGGAATTCAGGATTGTTTTGAATTAGCCAATCGGATAGCCTGTATTCGAGCCCCTGATCGCTAAAAAGCGATCAGAACTCCCCACAGATCGCGCAAAAATCGAGATAGCCAATCAGATGACTGGAATCTGACTCAGAGCGTGCAAAACTCATGCGTAAGACCGCTTTTCTGCGCGTTCATGTTCGAAGGCCTTGCTACTGAATGATATTTCAAAACTGTACTGTTAAAAACTTTCAATAATTTAAAAACTTTCAATACATTACACTGCGCGAAGTTTGATAACTGGACTGCTATTTTAATTTAACAATTTCCATTTTTCTGGCCAATTTTTACCTTAGTCGCGTGATCGCTCTGATCACCCCTAGATCAGCCCCTGGGTTTATTATATGGCTGAACTGAGTCTGTGAGCATATGCTTTCCGTGAAAATTAAATCTGCTATCGTCAGTTTCACTGGGTAACAATATACGGTAGGCATGCATGCTCAATCAAAAACAGTTTGGTTGTGTGAAATTTTTATCTGTAAAGCACAATTGGAAATTTAAAAAGCAAATAATTAAAAAATTTTTCCGTTTGCAAAGCAAAAATTTCCCGCCAGATAAGCGACATCCGGGACATCGGTCCAGATACGGAAAATACGGACCACGGTCCGGATATGGATTTTTACGGACCGCTTGTCAACCAATCAGAATAGAGAATTTTGAAAAGCCATATAATAAAGTATTTTATTGACAACTCCCCGAGAGGGGGTTTTCAGTGACAATTTTACAACAATTAAATAGATACTATATATTCCTAATTAAAACATGCAAGAACTAGTAGTGTTAACTAGTTGACAAATATTCGTTTAGAAGATGCTTCCTTAACTTACTTTTAAAAGTACTTAGACATTCACTTGTCTTCAGAAAGAATGGTAAGTTATTCCATATGTTGACAATTCTATAAGAGAATGATCTTTGTCCTGCTTTTGTCTTACACATTCAGGAATATGTAACTTTGCTTCAGCGAGGGTGCTTGGGATGATTATTGAGAACATAATTGTATCATATTCCATAGACATTTGATAGACCTATTTAGACCTTTCATTTTCCTACGGGTTTGTAAAAAGTCTTTAGTAGTGTGAGAACAGAAGAAACAAGCACAGTTATGCTTTATACAACAAAATTGTAGATAAAATTGGTGGAAAATCCTTAGTTATGCTACAGTAGCAAACAGTAGCAGGATGGCCAATTTCCTCTAATCCTGTTAATTTACTTTAAAATATGGCGAAATTTGAAATGCAACCACCTTACACGTCGTGTTTATTCCCATTATACAGACGACATAATATGAATTGTATATGACAAATTGCAGCGTATCAATGTATCTTAATACAGTACGTACAGTACGTACAGTACTGTTAGAGTTGTAGTGTTTTATTCATTGATCAGTTGTATTTACGTGTATTTGTAGGACTGAAGAAGACCTTTACTCAGTTTCAATTTCACATCGACAACCTGAAGGAAAAGTGGATAAGGTCTGTTTATTGTAGTCCCCTGTATTGCAGTAATGGTTACCGGAACAAATCAGATGTGTTCGACATACCCTAAACCTCCGAACATAAGCCCCCCGAATATAAGCCCCCCCCCCGTGTATAAAGCCAACCACATGTACTAACGCTCACCTTATTCCAAATATAAGCCTCCCCGAATATAAGCGCCCCTCATTGTCTTGTATGTTAATCAAAGCGCGTTATTACTCTCGATTTCAATTTGCTTTTCAAAACTGACTTCCAATGTTTACTTGTAAATTCGGAATGTTCGTTGTAAAGTTCCGAAGTTTGTTTCGAAGTTCGTTACGATGGTTTACGATGATTCAATAGCAAGCGATTTGATTGGCTGGTTCACTTAACTAGTCAATTACAACTTACTAAACTTGATTATCGTAAATCATCGGAACGAACTTCGAAACAAACTTCGGAACTTTACAACGAACATTTCGAATTTACAAGTAAACATTGGCCGAAGTCAGTTTTGAAAAGCAAATTGAAATCGAGAGTAATAAATGTTTATATTCCTGTTTATGACTGACTTGTTCATTACACAGTTAACTGTGTTTATTACTAACACAAAATATAGTCCATGTATAAGCCCCCCCCCGTATAATAATAAGCCCCCTTTGTATAAGCCCATCTAAAATCGTTTACGAAAGAGTATAAGCCCAGGGCTTATAGTCGGAGGTTTACGGTATCCGATTAACCAGTCAGGGGCCGGTTGTACGAAGGTCGGATAGCGCTATCCACCGGATAGTGATTTTTTCAACCTTTGTAAAATGCTTGAAAAACTGCGAAACTACAGATATACACGACACAGGAACTATAAAAAAAACAACATTTCACTTATAAATACTTAACTTTAATACAAGTTATACCAATCAACGACTGATTTAAAAAAGCTTGAAAAAATCACTATCCGGTGGATACGCTATCCGGCCTTCGTACAACTGGCCCCAGATGCGTAGCAAGAAGAAGTAGTGCATGGAAGTCGAATTTGTCTTCTCTAATATAACCTAGATGATCGACCCATGATTGCAAAGGGGCTTTTGATAAATATACGAATGAACGAATAATTAATCCTACCTTTTTCTTAATAAAATTTTACAGTGAAAGTCCTGGTCAATATACTGTACAACGCGTATGTAATGCGGTGACCAGCAATATCTGCGGTGATCGATCTTCAATATCCGTAATAATGCGGTGATCTGTATATCAAATTATCAATATCCTATGATTTGAGCTCGTTCAAACTTCATCGCAATTTTTTTTAACTTATGAAGACTTGCGTTACATTTGAACACAGAAAGCAAATCCAAGCATGCAGGTTTCATGAACATGCTTTTGTCGTGGAAATGTCAAAAGAGTCCATTATTTTATCCTTCAAAATGGCCACAAAAACACCATCGAAACATTTCCAGTACAAGCGAAAACGTCACAGCCAAGCGAAGAGGAAAAAAGAAATTGTCCAACTCAAAAAATGAAAATGAAAGTCGGCAATGATAAAGTCAAGAACGATTGACTCGAATGCATGACCTGCACCCGCTAAGGGCGCTAATATATGACTACTCAAATCCATAAGTTAACTGGATATTTCAAGTTTGAATTAAAATGCTTAAGGTGGCTCGATATACTTTTCAAAAATTCAGCTGTTCAACACACATGTTCAAACTACGCATTTTTAGGATTTATTCAGCAGATATTGTTTTTTTATATATTTTGATATCCCTACTGTACTTTCAAATTATAGTAGTTTTGGTAACAGATAGTTCGTTGCTATGACGATATATACGAGTACGAAATTCACTCCAAAATGGCCTGTCGCCTTGTATTGTTGGAAAAGAACCATGGTGACTCCTAATTTTTTTCGTGCATTATTTAACTTGGAAGAAAAACTAACAATTAGCAAAATATTAAAATAAAAAAATTCTGTCAGGGCCATTTTTTTGGAAAATGCGAAAATGTCGTACTCTTCGGTGGAATGTTTTAGGCATTACAGAATTTTTTGTATAATGAAAGATTTTAGCGGTGCAATACAGCATGCAAAATTTGAACATAGATCACCAGACAAAATAGAGAGATATAGCGCATTGTTTTTCTAAAATTGAAAATTTTCATGACGTCAGCAATTGATATAAAACTCTATAGAACACGCGCAATGACGTGAGATGGCGCGAGCAACTACTCGCGTCAGGTCATTTCGGAAGCTCTCGCATTTTGTTATTAAATCAGTTTCTGCGACCTGCGCGTAAAAATGGTCACCCGGTATTGTTCGCGATTCTTGAGCAGGGTTTTTGCGATAACTATATCGAGCCCCCTTAAATTGATTGTTACATTCAAATTAGGAAATCCTAAAAGTTTATATAGTAGGAAAAGGCAACTAAATAAATAAAATTGCTTCCACTGATTAATATTTAATGTCAACGAGCTTACTGTAACTCTGCATATAAGTGTAATCAATGACTGTACTCTTGGTTTCTTGCAGCTTGCTTATTACACTGTTCAAGCCCTACGAGTGGCATTTGATATTATTTCCATGTACAAAATTGGTAAAATGACAGAAAACAAGTGGTTGACGTATGTTTTAACCCATTTAATATTTTACATAGTCATAGTGTCGTATACAATTTTATAGAATATTTTACATTAGCATACACTCCGGAGGTGGATAGTGCTTTTCTCGCAATTTGATTGGTTGCTCCGGATATCCTTGCACTATATTCACCTCCAGTCTGTAGAAATTATGTGGAGGTATTCTTTAAAGCTATTGAAGCTATTTCTAATGACTAAAAATGATACAATTACCGCGAAAGCGTGTACATACTGGGTTTTTTTGCAACTATTACCGGAGCTGAAATACAAAATAATTGTTTTAATAAATATTTTTGTTGTTTTTTTGGTCATTTTTGTTTTGTTGTGGTATATGCTAAAACAATCATTCACCTCAGTGTTGGTGAATAGTGCGTTTTGCACTATTCGCCAACATTGAGGTGAATAATTATTGATTAGATCACTCAATCATATTTTTCTGCATTTGTAGCCGAATTATTTTGCTCGAAACTGTTGCTGGTGTTCCTGGTATGGTTGGTGCAATGACAAGACATTTTCACTCTCTTAGGCGAATGAGAAGAGACCACGGATGGATACATACGCTTCTCGGTAAAACCAGCACCCAATCAAATTTGAAGATAAGATTATTTTTCACACGTGTGCCGTCCTTCTAAACTCCATAGAAGATAATCAATTCAAAGTAGTTACAACCACTAGTGGTTGTGTCAACTTTTCTGTTACAAAAACTAGAGAGTGACTGTTTGTATACTGTAGGCCTGGAATTTCCATAAAATCCCTCAACGGCATGCATGCAATAATGTAAAAATTTGCCATAAAGTGTAGCGGCTTTCTGCGCATTTTCATCACTGGCTGCTAAGGAAACCAGAATCACATTTTTGAAACACCGCGGAAAAACGTCTGCGCATGCGTCAACCTTACCTGTAATAGTATTGCGAACTTGATGAGAAGCTGTTCCGAACGTTTCCGAAGGCTCAAAATGGCGGTAAAAAGGAGTGACTTCATTGTGCGTCTTTACAGCCAGATTTCGAGCGCAAAAATAAACATGTCATTCTAAAAACTAGGAATAAATACAGCCAGAAGGTTCAAGAAATTGTATTGTACAAGAACATGAACTAAAGGTGATTGTTGACAAATTTATCGTCTGAAACATTTTGTTTATCAACTAAGCAACGACAATTTCCGTATTTTCGTTTGAGATACATTTCTTTAAAAAAAACTGTGTCGCCAAATATAAAAAAATTTCGTGTTCACAATAATTAATCTTCAGGATTTATTCTACAATTTGAGTGGGTTAAGAAGCTTAACTTTTCAAGAGTTTTCTTAACTTTTTAGTTTGAATTTTTGTTTTGAATAATTTTGCAAAAATTTTCGAAGTCGTGTCCGTTAAAATCAACAATTTTTTACATGAATTATATTTCATTCCATACTTTAAATCCCAGGACGCTTTCAATTAATGTCTAGTCTATCCATTTGCTATATTTTCTCGTTTGTTTTACTAATTTTTGACCAATTAATAAGCATGTTTTTGTTTTAGAAATTGATATTCAAATTCCCCGCCATATTTTCATAATTTGGTGCATGCGCAGACGTTTTTCCGCGGTGTTCATTTTTGAACGAATAAACTCGATTTCATGTGGTTATCCCTCATATTTCGTGCACAGTAGATTTAATGAAAGGCATGTGATTGCGATCAAGATCAAAGATAAAAAGTTTTGTGCACCAAATATATGGAATATAACCTTCATGTGCGCCTGCCGTGTTACATGGCAAACGCGTAAACGAGGCCATTGGGGGCAAAAGTGCAATAGAAGAACATAGAGGCTATGGATTTACAAAGCACATAATGTTTAGGTCAACTGCTTGTTTGCAACCCATGCAATTATAGGCATTGAAGACTATTGCATATTATCCATTGATTAGAGGAGGCAGAAAATGAACGAATGCATCTCATGACTGCATTGGAATTAAAACAACCTGGTATTATCTTCCGTGGTCTGGTTTTAATGATGCAAGGTGAGTATCAAAGCTGGATTAGAGACAACTTTTCTGGATCAATAAAAGTTTTATTTTATGAAGTTTGGAAATAAACCGAAAGTGCAGAAATACACAAATCAAAACAGCACATTATATTTTAACCCTGGGTGTGCGCTAATCGTGCTTAACAACCGGCCCTGACAAAGTTTGTGAACAAATATTTTCAAATTATGAACAGATGTTGGGGAGTATGCTTTGACTGACGTGATCATTTATCATGAGCTGAGGACGCGGAACAGGGGATGGGTCCTGAGGGCCGATGTAACTACAAAATTAGAGAAATGCCCCTATTTATCACCCCTGAGATGCTTCTGAGGCCTATGACCAAAAGGTGTATACTCCTTCTGATTAATTTTAGGGGTATTTGTCAACATGCTTTTCATTTCATACCTGCTAAGTCCTCGATTTTGTCATCGGTTTGTGGGTTACCTGGAAGAGGAAGCTGTCAAGACGTACACACATTGCTTAGAGGTAATCTATGTGTAAGCAATTTAAGTTTATAGAGAGATAGCTGGAAAAACTGTATAAGAAAGCTGTTACAATATTTTTCAACCGTGAACACCTTGGCTTGGTAGGCTAAAAGCTAAGTATGCATCGCATGAAATCTAAGGTAAAATGTTTAAAGAACTATAAGATTTCAAGTTATATACAAAAGATGGTCATAGTATTATGTTGGCAAGCTAATTGTCCTCCCCAATAGTGACGACACTTAACATTGTCCATTATATAATTATCACATAATCCATTGAATGTCGTACCGTGATCGCCTTATATATTCACTACTATAAAGGCCCATGTAATTTCCTTGACTCCTGCTACTAACTTCCCGATGAAGTTCCTTCGCTCGAAACGTCGTAGTTCTCCTCGTATTTTTCAAGTAGTTGCATCACTATCAATCCGCAGCTTTCTTATTATTGGCACTACCTACACTAGACAGACCGAATGGGCTACTTACATATTCAGTTCACTCAAGACAAACGTTTGCTAATTCTTCATCCAATTTTCATCCAAATTTAGGCCAAAATTTATTCAATTTGTCCTCAGGTGATGCCCATTAGTCCCACAAATTTTCGTATTAAATCTATTTAACGTATTTCCTTTTCACTTTTATAGACAATAGATAAGGGCGCACTAAGTGTGTGGAATACAAAACCTGGACCGGTAATTGCTAGAAAGTACTGGAGACTAAAGGTAATGACTGTATACTAGGGAGATACACATCGGTGCATGTAGTATGTGATCGAATCTGAACAAGTAGGGCACCTGTATCTAAGTTTAGTGATTTCCTAAACAGTGTGTCCCCCCAAAAATGCAAAAACTATAGGCAGGCTTCAGATTTTGCACAGCTATACAATTATTATTAGTAGACATCGAAAATTCAGTCTAGGAGATGAATTTTCACACTAAGATTATTTGTCTAGTGTATAGCATATTAAAGTAAAGGGTCATCGAATCTATTGATACTTAATTACATGTCAATGGATGCATGATTAATTAATCGCCCATTGAGTAAACAAGGCACTTGTCTATGTTAACAGCTTAACATATGATTGATTGGTTCTGCTATAGAACAATTTTAATAATCTTATTGTCAAAGTTCATCTCTTAGATTGAATTTGCGATGCCTACTAATAACAAGCTATGTAAAGATCTGGAACACAACTATTGCGTATTCAAGGGGTCACCCTCTATTTGTTTATCCCAGTTTTTGCTTTTTATTGCTGTTAACCAACCCGTTCTTAGTCAATCCTATTTCCATAAATGTCATCTTTTAATGATTAGCACTAAAAGAACAAAACTGACCTGAACCGTATATACAGGGTGTAAAAAAAACGCAACTTCAGAATTTCCCAAGAAATCGACATTGTTTTTAGGGACAAAAGATTTTAGGGGACGGGGAACTGTCAAAATTACTGCACACGCGAGTACATAAAGCAAAATTTATGCATTTATTTAATAACACTTAATAAGTTTTTATTTACAAGTACAGTACAACAACAGTAATATGATCTATTAGCAATTCGATTTCAATTCCCAGGGGCCTAAAATCTTTTATGCTTGAGAATTACAAAGTGGATTTCTTGGGAAATTTCGAGGTTACGTTTTTTATATACACCCTGTAGTTAAGCCGATGCTAGACCACGCGTAATTTCTCCGCTCGCTACACCCTGTGGCAGTGAGAAACAAATATTATGACTGATATTAGTGTCAAACAGTTCATATAATTGTTTATGGTGTTTTCATGTAGCTATGTAAGTGTACATTAAGTCTAGATTTATCGTCTTATATATCACTTCAAAAAATCCCTGGGTATATTTTGACTCAAAAACTACTAAAATTATAGTCTATTAAGATATGATGGTCTGGAAACTAAACAGAAGTCAATTAGTTACTCGCTGGGGCACCTGTGCCCCGGGCGAGTATAGGTTTCGGCATGGTTCTCCAATCTCCGATCGTCGATAGCCACAAAATAGAATATTAATGAGCTGCCTAATCCCCAATTATCCATAAGATTCCTGCCAAATTTTACCCAAATTATCCATAAATAACCCTGCATTTTGAGGAAAATTGAACAATTTTACAAGGAATTTCGCACAGAAACAGCAACCTTCGCAAATCGCAAGTTTATACGTTTGGCTGCGCTGCTTTAATATATTTTGATAAGAAAGCGACACCGTTCGATTCAGCGTAAGAAATTGTACTCACGGATGTCAAACGTAGTACAAAACAGGAGTATTCCAGCGATTTATGGCCTTTGAAAATCAAGCGAAATTGGTCAAATTGTATTGTTGATAAATCGCTCGCAGTACGAATGTCCTTGTATTTGTAATGTCTCATGGCGCAAATAACGATAAAATATCACTGTTCGATTCAGGGTAAGAAATTGTACTAATTACGGATGTCAAATTATTACTAGACAATAGTATTCTAGCGATTTATGGCCTTTGTCTTTGAAAGGCAAGCGAAATTGTATTGTTATTGTTAACAATACAATTTCGCTTGTCTTTCAAAGACAAAGTGTCAAAGGCCATCTTAAAATCGCTAGAATACTATTGTTCAGTAATAATTTGACATCCGTATAAATTAGTACAATTTCTTACCCTGAATCGAACGGTGATATTTTTATAGCTCATACGGATGTCAAATGTATTACTAAACAACAGTATTCTGGCGATTTATGGTTTGTCTTTGAAAGCCAAGCGAAATTGTATTGTTATCAAATCGCTCATACGGATGTCAAATGTATTACTAAACAACAGTATTCTGGCGATTTATGGTTTTATCTTTGAAAGCCAAGCAAAATTGTATTGTTGATAACTTTGGTATCATTGGTTTTCTCTTTTTCGGCCGTATACCAGTGGATTCGTCTTACTTCTCTCTTCATTTTGATAGTATTTTGAGCCGAAAGCTCCCAAATAAAGCGCAGTTTATTCCTAGCATACGGACCAACTGGCGGCTGACAGTCTTAATTGAAGGATGTAGCGTATTAAATATAACTTTACTTGTAGGGCCTACCGCATTTTAGTACTGTGTTAAGCCTTTTGCGCTCGTATTCGACTTTTCCGCTTAGTAATGTGCGTATTTGTATGACTTGTATAGCCCCAGCGAGTTAACGCTCCACAGAGTGTCTTGTTTATGTTAATTTGTGCACGGTCACGGTTTTGAGCTCATTGTATTTTCGTATAATTAAGTAACCGTCCAATAAGGATAGCTGAGATATCAGACGTGTAATCACGATAAATAATATTTAACGAAGTTGAGACAAAGGTTTGTGCACGACTGCATGGTGAGGTACAGTTCAACATCAAACAAAAGTCTTCTATTTTGTAGCTTTGAAGTTTGCCAGGCTTCCAGACCATCATATCTTGACAGACTATGCTAAAATAATGCACCCATAGTGACTCAACTTTTGAGTAAAATTGCTCAAATTTATGATTTACTTCACTCAAAAAGTGATTGAATTTGCTCATGAATTTGGGTAAATATTACTGAATATTTATTTTGAGTCACTGTGTGCGCTTTTTATTCAAGTTTTTGTGGCAAAATATTTTGCAGTGTATACGTACAAACATGATTAAGACCATCCAGGAGAAACTCCATGAACCCTACCATAATATTTTCCTTGACCCTAGAGCTATTGTTTAAAATGTATTGTGTTATTGGTTTCTTCGGTTAGTTTCACAACGTTTCACGTTATTGCTGATTAGTATTTAAAATTTCTTTTCAATCTATTTTAAAACTATTTTTATTTTTCCAAGGATGACTGCACTATGCGAGACGTGATTCTTGCCATTCGTGCAGATGAAGCTCATCATCGGAAAGTCAACCACACTTTCGCATCCATGCACCTTGATCAACAAAATCCATTTGAACCATGGGAACGAAAATTGTAAAATAGCACATGGAACTATCTTTAGATAAATATAATGAGTAAATGACACTATATTTGTATGTATATTAGTTCAAAACGAAGACATTTTTGAATAGACACCCAAGGCGGACAATGTAATGTTTTTGAATAGACACTCGAGGCGGACAATGTAATGCATTGTAAATATTGAAAGGAACCGATCATTAGAAAAGTGGTAGTGGTGGAGCTTGCGTAAATTTCGTTTGTGTTTCTGTTGCACAATTGTTTTCTTTCTTTGCGCGAATTTTTTGTTTACCCTTCACTTTTCTATATTGCGATCAGTGGAAAAAGTCTTAACACTTTTCGTTTTGCCGACATTTTTGGCCATCTTGTTCTGACTTAGTCCTCAGGAGATTTTTGAGCATCTCCTGATTAGTCCCTGCGAACGAGATACCCAGAGATCTCGCAGCTTCGATTCCTGCCAGAGTGCATTTTTCGCAACTGCTCCACGTTAGGTTTAGAAGAAGGGGTGTAGAGGAGGGGGCTCAGCCTCCCTTGTTAGGTGCCCGGGAAGCTGGCCCCCTTTTTATAACTTTCATGCTGATTTGGGAGATGACTTCCCAATATTTTGCAGATTGCATATTCATAAACTGGAAAGTTATTTGTAACTGTTGTGTTGAAATAATGCGGTAATGCATGTTTATTAGTAATCTGTACTTTATAAGATTACTATGATCATACTATTAGGTAATGTATGTGACTCCAACATGAAATAGCTATGGTATATCGGAATCTTTTATTTGAAGTTAAGTCCTTTCTTCCAAAAAAAACACTATTTGAAAAATTACTAGAATCCCCCCCGGCCCCATTAAGATAGAGCTGATAAAAACTCTGCAGTATACGTTTTCCCATTTGTGTGACATGATTGTAAGTATACTGAAAAATAATGAGCTGTGCACGTATTGTCGAAACACCAAGTGACATTGAGTTAAAATTTAAAATGAACTACATAAATATTTTCTGAAGTCAATGATCGTTTGAGATCAATTCTGACTCAAAATATTAGACATTATGCACACTTAACCCTTGGCCTTGCAATGCATGCTGAGGATTGAATGCACCGTGCTTACTTAATTCAAGTCCCGCAATCCTTTCCGAAAGGGAATGTACACATATGAAGCAAATATTATTTTCCTTCAAATTCCTCAAGAAAAGTTTAGATTTGCGAAGTTTTTTGCACACCTTAGGGGGTGCGTGAACATACATCCTTTTTGTAACACATGTTTCATCACAAAGTGTGTAATTTGATGGTAACACCGCTTTGTTCAGATAAGAGAGAGGTTAAGATACCCTGGTTCCGGTTTACGGGTACGCGTTACCGCAATTTTTCCTGATGTCAGCATTTTTACCCCTGTTTCTATCCGTTTCCCCGCGGTAAACCACGGTCTACGTTCGTTCCCTCTTTAAATTGTTGTACACTTACTGAAAGGAACACTTAATTAATTAATGTATATTATTTAAATTGTTCCCCCATTCATGGTTGGGGTATTTGACAACTAAATCCAACTAGTGGGTGGGGAATTTGACAGAAAAAAATTCAAAATGTCAAATGCCCCTGGGTCTGCCCGCCCTCCCAGGGTGGTGGAAACAAGTGATAGATGCATAGGCCAGGCATTATAAATAGGGCCTGAATTTCAGGTTGAGGCAGCCTCGTCCCCAGGCGCTTTGATTTGCTGCTCCAAACCAGAGTTGGAGCCTGGGGACAAAGCTGACCACGAGGTGAGGTAGGTAAGCCCTTCGAGTTAAGCCCCGACAATGCCCAAACCACACCCATACATTTTCGTCAAGGGCTTAACTCGAAGAAAGAAACACATTAACTTGGAAAGTTCGAATTAAGCCCCATGAAAAAAGAGGGGCTTATTAAAACTCGAAGTCATTCGACACTCGAGTTTAATTAAGCCACGACATTTGAGGCATGTAAAAGAGCAATGATTTGAGTCGTCCGCAATCTGGCTGGAAATAGTTATCGTACTTCTCGGCTTAAAGCGGGTTTTCCACTAGCGAATTTTCTCGCGCGAAGAGAGCTTTTTCCTTTGTCGGTATCACTTATTACGTCCATATATATCTTAGGCCTGTTTCAAACGTCGCGCTTCTCATCTGCCGAACGCACTCGAAACAATAGATAATGAGGCATTTCAGCTGACTATATATTGTTTTTGATGCGTTCAGCACATGAGAAGCGCGACGTTTGAAACAGGCCTTATACGCACTAGATAGTGCATCTAATTATTCTGCAATTCAAAAATTGAAGCCGTGATTGCAGACTCAGGATATTCCCATGAAAAGAGAAAATTCGTGTGTTTTCTATTTCTTAAACAAGGAACTGAAACATTAAGTTAAACCTATTCCAAATACATTTTTAAACTATTCAAATGATGAATTTTATTGTTGTTTTTTAAGCGTTTATTAGCGAGTGGGAACTACCAACATGGCCGCCATCTATTCAACCATTTGAATGTAACCGCTGGAATATTCTTGGCTTCAATTTTACTAAAAGAGATGCGCTATCTAGGCCCCGTTTAGACTATACCGGATTGCTATCGGAGTGGGTCAAATTTTGTAGGTATCGAAAGGCTGTGAAGATTTTTAATCTCAGAGACCCAAATAAACATGCCAATTCTGTCAAACTAATAAGCATTTGTTACTAACCATTGCTCCGTAACGGCAAAAGAAGATGTCGTGACCAGCGAATCCGGTATAGTGTAAACAGGACCCTAGTGTATATAAGATATCTATGATTACGTCAGCAGACGTGTGGTAATGCTGACAAAGGAAAAAGATCGCTTCGCGCGAAAAAATACGCTAGAGGAAACCGGCTTTAAGCTGGTTTTCCACTAGTGAATTATTTCGCGCGAAGCGACTATTTGCTTTTGTCCTTGACTCTTTCGGCTGGAACCATTTGAACTAATTACGGTTTTGGACAAAAGAATAAAGTCGATTCGCGCAAAAATTCGCAAGTGGAAAGCCGGCATTACGACCATTAGTTGGCCGTCGATTTTATCAAATATTTGGCAAGTAGGTCTACGTGTTGGTTCCGGCATTCGGTTTGACAGCTTATGGATTTATTGGCTTAATGCACATTTTCATTGTTTTGAACAGGTTATTATTTTCAAGAATCGACATGCGCAAGTTTACTTAATGCAACGTCATTATTTAATGTCAGGAGGTTATTATTACTAAGCAGATTGGAATTACCTCCAAGTGTTATAAACTGGATAATTGATTTTCTCACCGATAGATTTCAAAGAGTTAAATTAGCTGATGATTGTTTTTCGGAGTGGGGATCAGTCCCTGCAGGAGTACCACAGGGAACTAAGCTAGGCCCCTGGCTGTTTGCTCTTATGATAAATGATTTAATCATTGATGATGCACATACCTGGAAATACGTAGACGATACGACAGCGTCCGAAATTGTCAGTAAGGGGGGTACTAGTGATGCCCAAAATATAGTTGATCAAGTGGTTACGTGGTCTAGTAATAATAGAGTACAATTAAATCAAGACAAGTGTAAGGAATTGAGAATATCGTTCGCGAATCAACCAGCAATCTTTGATCCATTAACCATTAATGGGAAAGAATTGGAAGTTGTTAAAACAGTAAAGCTGCTAGGACTCACTGTCAAGGACAACCTTAATTGGTATTCTTATGTGGACGAGGTTATAAAGAAAGTGAATAAAAGATTGTACATTTTAGTGCAATTAAAACGAGCGAGAGTTCCACCACAAGATTTAGCGCTGTTCTATACGTCGTGTGTCAGGTCAGTTGTGGATTACGCGATTCCTGCCTTTTACCATTGTCTCCCACAATATCTGAAGCGTGAGTTAGTGCGTCTCGAGAAAAGAGCTATATCAATTATCATGCCGGAAGTTGACTATCTAACAGGTTTGGAACGATTAGATATTAAGCCCATGAAGGATCATCATGAATATTTATGTGACAAACTTTTTAAGTCTATTATTCTTAATCCTGATCACAAACTTAATAGCTTATTACCAGCAAGATATAACACGAATTATAACCTAAGAAACCAAAGGAACTTCAACCCCCCACAAATCATGACTAATAGAACAATGAATTTCTTTATCTTCTCTATGTGTAGCGCATGAAACTTGGTGTTTATTTATTGGACGTTCGTATACAATTATTAGTGTAAATTAGCCTTTTAAACTTTTTACTGTAATCACTATTAAAATAGTAAATTATTCATGTAATATATCAAATTTTCTTGTCCAATTAGCAAATTGTAAATTACGCAATTCAGCTGTAAAGCTGCGATGTAATTATTTTAATAAATCCAATCCAAATCCAATCCAATTATAAAGCTCAGAATTTCTTAAAATCGACTTGGGATATAATCAATTAATGCCATTTACCTTTCGATTTGGTGGTTGCGTCGCTCTCAATTAGCCTTTCTCACGATGACGAATATCCGCCATTTTGGTGTGGCATCTAATTCTCGTTAACCAATGCAGACAATTAAAACAATGTGAAAAGCAATTTTTCAAAATAAACTAACCATTTACAAAGCAGATTTGCCATCATTTGTCCAAAAAATTATAAAAAGTCGCTGTTATGTGGACTTATCTCGCAGACTTCGGCTGAAAAGCCACCCAGAATTGGCGGCGTGAGCCGTGAGAAGGGCAAATTCACGGCAAACTAATGGTCATAATACAGCCATTTATAAAAGCAATAGTAAGCTAGTCGCGCGTTATTTCGCGTAAGAGGTCAATCTATTCGTAATAAGCTCAGAGGTGCAAAAGATAGTCAAAAATAACCTGTTACTTAATGAAACTTGACTGTTCATACGAATTGTTCGTGACTCTTTTAGAGTGCAGCTTATTTAAGCCGAGACGTATGATTGACTATTTCCAGCTAGATTGTGAACGACTCCAATCATTGATCCTTTCCTATTTTTGCACGGGGCTTAACTCGAACATTCCAACTAGTTGTGTTTCTTCGAGTTAAGCCCTTGAAAATGGATGGAGTTTGGGCGTAGTTGGGGCTAAATTCGAAAAGCTAGGGCTTAACTCAAATATTAAGTTGGCCAAGTGAAGCCAAAAACATGGAGGATTTAATTGATTTTCAACCGCGGCCAATGAACTCTACAAAGACTGGAACGCTAACTCTGTGATTCCAAATTGATGCATAATTTGAGGCACATGCAATCAATGAAATGCACATTCGAAAGGACTAAGGCAAGTTTCGAGGAGTGGAAATCCAGTAAAAGTGTAAATTTTTAGCGAGATTAAGCAAGAAGAATGGCTTTTTGAACCAAAGCCGTCTTCAATTTTAAAGATTCAAACATGGCTTTCTGGATATTTCTAAGTATTCCACTTCCGAGGTATCAGCTTTATTTTATATTCGAAATATTTAACAAGTTTGAACAAAAACTTTTCTCTTTAACTCCAACAAAAATAAGGGTAAAATCTCTCTATACGTTCCCGAAACTTATTTTGAAGTAAAGACAGTAAAGTTGAAGTATTGTTGTTTGTTTTTTAAGCCTTTATTCTTGCTAAAAACTAAAAAGACGATGTTTTGTGTCAAAAAATCGACGCTAATTTTTAGAGCTTGTATCATCGAGCCTTTCATGGCGACCTTCAATTTGGCTTCAAAGATGGCGCAGAGTTAGCGTTCCAGTCTTTGTCAGCATGATCTCTTCAAAGGCAGCCCAAATTCTGCATGTTGTATATTCTTGTATATCAATGGATGATTCCAGCTATAGACAAAATTTTGATCTAGACAAGAGAACGAAATCCATTGCCATAGCTGGAAAAAGCATCTTAAAATTAGTAAAATTGCAAGTTTGGATGCAAATTATTGTGCAATGAGGAACATATAGCCCTTTGAAGTTTGCAAAAATGTAAATGTTTGCATTACGCAAGGGAAAAATACCAGTTTTGAACCGAAAGTGGTTCAGTTTCCCGCGCGTAATACAAATATTTCTCAAATTCATTAATAATTCATGAGTAATTCAGTCAATGATAATCACCTATTTGATCACTATGAAGCAGTTTCCCTATCAAAAATAACGATAGGTGTGCAAACCTAAACGATAGGTGTGCAAGCCTAAACGATAGGTGTGTAAGCCTAAACGATAGGTGTGCAAGCCTAAACGATAGGTGTGTAAGCCTAAACGATAGGTGTGCAAGCCTAAACGATAGGTGTGCAAGCCTAAACGATAGGTGTGCAAGCCTAAACGATAGGTGTGCAAGCCTAAACGATAGGTGTGCAAGCCTAAACGATAGGTGTGCAAGCCTAAACGATAGGTGTGCAAACCTAAACGATAGGTGTGCAAGCCTAAACGATAGGTGTGCAAGCCTAAACGATAGCATCCTCGTTCCCAGGGCTTCTCGGCTGCCTGCGTTGCCGTAAGCCCTGGGCACAGAATAAAGATCAGTACCAGAAGGGCCACTCAGCGGTGCAACGTGTTCCCATTTTTCTATGCAAAAACATGCAATTGACTGGCTAGGAAGATGGCGGCCAGCCAATACAGCGCGTTCATTGGCCAGAAAATGTAATCGACTGGCTAGGAAGATGGCGGCCAGGGGCTTCCGACGTAAGTGGCCCTTAATTCTGTGTGCCTTATTCTGTGCCCTGGGACAAGCCGAGGCAGAAGTGATTTGATTGGTTGTTGGAAATAGAGTGAAATAAGAAAAGTTTATTCATCAAGTGGATGTTTATATTCGGCAATATGGCTGCCTTCAAGGAGTGCGCGTTCGAAATACGAAGAAATACCAACGTATACTGCTTGTTTTCTATGGATTAATGGAGATAATTTGCAAACAGAAAGAAAGAAAATAACAAAATGGACAATTGTAAAGTAGAAGTAAGCAACAATATCGAAGAAACGTCAATTATGAAGCCATTAAAAAGTTTCTTCATTTTAACATTTTCTTGTTATAAAGTTGTTTATTATTAAAACATTGTGCTCAAGTATAATTGTAAAACTTTAGGCACACGGTAAATGTAAAATGTTTAATAATATATATTTACGATAGTAAAGTTTTAATGGTGTAATATATTGTGTTTTATTAATTATTATGCTTTTGGTATTGGTCACTTGGCCTATTACCCGCCTATATTAAAATGGCCCTATATTAAAATGGCCAATTGGAATTTATAAATATAGCATATGGAATATTATGGGTGTATTTTACTATTTCTGAATTTTCCTCAGTTGTATTATTAGTGAGTAATTTTAATAGCTTTTAATTAAATACAGTGAATAAGCTTATAAGCATATTCAATTGCACCAGTCATTTGAATCCTTGCACCTTTGGCATACCAGAGGGGATCAGGGGAATGGAAAGACAATCGCCTCTTATTCACTGGTTTACCATTTCTTGGCAAACAGGGAAGACACTTACTTTCAGTGTCCAAATCGGGAATGAATGAGGTCATGGGGGGGGGGAGGATTGTCATTTAGTCTTTTATATAAATGTTGAAATAAAGCAGTCGGCTATATAAATGCTGAAATAAAGCATTTGGCTAGGAAAGGCTTAGTCTTTTATATAAATACTGAAATAAAGCAGTCAGCTAGGAAAGGCTTTTGCAGAACAGTAAAGGAATGGTTTGGGAAATTTCATGTAAAAATTCCAATTGAATACCTGGGGATGATAGGACTGAAGAAATTTACCTTGCCATTTTGTCCTGGCTGCAGGGGACTTCACTGAATTTCACACACCAAATTAAGTGAATGCCCCTGGTATGCCCGAGGTGGGGGTCTCGAATTCTTGTGTCATATTGGAAGAGATCATGAATTTACACTGTTTCCTGTCAACAGTTCAGAATAGAATACTTATTCTGTTGACTTATTGCAAATCTTGTAAGAATTGAAATTATAAAATAAACTATTATTATTGACAAAACTGAAAATTTGTATATGTGTATGCAGGCTTCTAGCCAGGAGACAACCTACCATGTCTGTATGAAAATTGATTTTAAACAAACCATTACAAAAATGACATAAAAGTTGCTTTGTTGTATTGTATTGCTAACACTACCCTCCAATCATTGGCTATCCCATTTGGCCTCAAATGATTTGGCCCCTATCTGGAACAGAATGTGCACTTGCATGTAGAAAATATATAGGAATGCAGAAAATATTGTTATACTTTAATCTGAACACAAAAATTTCCCTGAAACAATTAACATACATTGGGCCATACAGTCATGCACATAGTTTTGACTGTCAGATCAGATGTATAAAGTTCAGCATAGTGAGTTGCATTCATGGCCAAAGACATATTAGGTTAATTATTTTACATAATTATTTTTCGTCATTTGCCACGCATGTAATCGGTGAAGGATTCAGGATTATCATGGAAATAACGTTTTAAACGTGCTATATAAAACGGTGTTCAATATTCATACTACATGATGGGCATATGGCCAAACAAACACCTTGTGCTTTTTTGCTCAAATTTACGCACGCATGATTTTGTATACATAATATAGATTTAAATCTAGCAATTCAAATCCAAAACTCATGGGGTCATGCATGACATCTATCTATAATTTATATTTTCTTCAAATGTCAGGTGATTCATTGTTATTGCCGTTGTTGTAACCCAGTAAACAGACACACATCGCCGTTTAGACATGTCAGTATGTCACATGTCGTTCTTGTTCCTTTTATATACATACGATAGACGATAAAGCTTCGAATTACTTCTCTTTAATTTCCAGTCCGGCTTTGTCCAGTCTTTGAAGTGACTTTACAAGCGCGTGTTGAAACAGGTCATCTGTACAAGAACCCATGATGTTTCGAATCATAGCGGCCACTTCGAGTACATTTCGACTCGATCCAGGGCATTTTTTAACTATATAACTGGGGGTGCCAAAGCCCCCCCAGCCCCCATGGTGGCCCCCCCACTCAACCATTTTGGCCCCCCCAGTCAAAGTCCCTTTTCTCTAAAATATAAGCAAAACATGGAATTTAGAATGGGAGGTTTGATATTCTAGTAACTGAAATTTGCTTTGTGAATCTTATGTCCTTTTTTTTATGTTTAATAAATACCTTAGATTTAAAACATTTCCCAAGCAGTGGATTGCTTTCCCAGACCTTATAGATTTGAGTTGTTGGACAAATTAGTGACCGCAGGGGGCAACAGGCCCTCAACCAAGTGTTTTATAAGGGGGGGGGGAATAATTTTGGCCCCCCACCAAAAAAAACAATTTGATTTCGAAACTAGAAGTATTTGAAATCATATACATATAATCAAATATCTGTAATCGATATTTTGATAACATTTCTCGTAATAATCCATCATGACTCGCGGATATCATAGACTCGCAAATCATAATGAACGAATTAATGAAAGGGCCTAACAAAAGACGTATACAAGACTTTGAAAATGCCATTTCCGACGATTTAGAGACGCAAAATTTTCAAATTTTTTTCGCTCTGTGCCAACCATGGTGGCGCTTCGTGGGAGTCGGGAAGTCTAAGTTTATCAAGCTGGCTCCCTAAGTGACGGCCAAGTTGTGGTATCTACATAAACATACTATGAAGTACTTAACTGAAGGTTCAGTCTATCTACAGCATAATGTAATGCTGTATATCCAAAAATCTGTTTCAGAAAATGCAGGGAATTGCAGTCATAGGGGTAGAAAAATACAAAAATTTTCTGGGAGAGAAAACCCCAATATATCGTTAATTAAATACACCTTCGCCCATTTAGTACTACTGAATTCTAAATTTCCACATACTAAAAACGCTGTTTTCTGACAATCAGAAATCTGTCAAATCTTCTCCAAAGTCCAGGAAATGGCATTTCAGAGACTCTAAGTTTAAAAATTTCCTCGGGCCTTCGGCCCTCGCTTTCAGCCCCCCCCCAAACGAAAAGAGCTTCCTACGGCCCTGCTCTCTCCCCTCCCCCCACTATTAAATGCGATACCACACCAAACTTTTTGTTACCAACAAACCATCTATCATTGCTCCACACTCGGTATAGTATGGTCCCTTTTTGTAGATGCCCCCCCCCCCCCACTGATGAATTCTTAAAAAATGCCCTGACTCGATCATGTTTACATCATACAAAAAAATTGATACATGTAATACGAGACCGAAATATGGTTGTATTTTGACGAATATTAACGATATAACGAAATATAAACCCCCAATATGTATAATTCCATTAGGTGGTCTGTATATATTCCCTTGATGGTGGAAAATACATCGAAACAAAAGAAAAATCCAATATTTTCTGCTCACCAACACGTCTCCACTCCTCAGTAAAAATTAGTGCATAGTCAGCAGTTTTAGCTTGCAGCAGAGCGCGTTTACTTCCGGAAAACACCAGAATTTGTGGTGTTCCATCCTCGGTCCCAGGGCCTCACGGCTGACACTGCGTTGCCGGAGGCCCTGGCGAAAACCAAAACGAGAAGTGATTTGATTGGTCGCATGAAAACAATGGAATGCGGAAATTGAACACGAACTTTTACTAATAAATATGGCTGACTATAGGAGTAGATAGGAGTGTATTAACTCTTCAAAGAAGACGAAGAGTCGTTTTGGTCGTTGAAATCTGCTGTCTATCAATGGAAATTTTATTTTTAATATAAAAAATGTTGGATGTTGTGTCACAATGTATTAAAAAGCTGCACAAAATTGGACATTGGATTATTTAAAGATTGAAATCGCTGAAGCTGAAGGGACTTAGGGACATTTTATATTAGTTTTATATACGAGATTTAATTATATACAGAGTACAAACAAAGACAGGCGAAAGGCTATGCGAGAAAGACTGTACCGTTAATTGTACAAATCTACAAAAATTGTGAGTGATGTCTTGCATCTTTCAATTACAAATGAGAAAATCCTGATCGTGAATGAGTATCTGTGTGGTTGTTCATTGCAAGAGGGGTATATTATATTAAATATAGTATATTATAAAATATGAGTTATTTTATAATATACTCTATTTAATAGACATACTTTATTGATTTTATATCAATTTCATCAAAGGCTCTTAATTTATGTAAAAATATTGTATTTTATATTAAATGTATTTAATGACATATTGTATTTTAATACTATTTAATAATGACAAAGTGATTAATATAATAGCTGGAAATGTTAGTTCTTCCACCTTGTTTTGCCTTAAATTTCATGCAATATATAGCTTAATTTATAGGCTATCAATGTTTTTTTACAGTTGACAAATTGTATTGTTAATAGTAATACTGCAACTTTGCTACACTGGTGATGAGCCTCCCAATTTTATGCTGTATACATACATTCAGTATTAAGTAATGTGTCAACATCTGGGAAACTAACTTCTGAATCTCTTACATGCAGTTGACATAATTTTTATAAATTATAGTGCTAGATTCCAAGGTTTAATTAGTCACCATAGGCACAGGAGGAAAGTTTTGAAATTTAGAATTGAGGAGCACTTCATGCACTTCATGTCAACAGCACCAAATTTATAATTTGTAAACTTTTGAAGAGAAATTGGGCAAGGCAGAGGCAGTGCAAGGGTCAGGTATTGGGGGGGGGGGGGCTGTAGCTCCCCTATGTGGAAATTCTAGCCCCTCCCCAATTAGGGAAGTGGAATGTACTGGGAAAAATTATGTTTTGTAATGACCTTGTTTTCTAGTGTTACAGACAATAAATTATGTTACAGACAATAAATTCCGCACCATTTCATGAGAGCCAAAAAATTCAACATTTTCATGTGTGAGCATAAGTTGAACATACAAAACAATAATTTTACTGTTTGAAAGATTATAGCCCCCTGTTGGGAACCTGATATTCCTTGTCGGGGAAACTGATATTCCTTGTCGGGGACTTGATCTTCCTTGTCGGGGAACTCCTGGAGCATCCGGCCTCCACACACAAGCACACTGGTACCCACACACCTCCATTTCCTACACCACTGCAATATTAAAGCACAGCATGGATGCACCATAAAGCTGTTATTTATTTTTTACAGTATCTTTATTAACACACCAAATTTTCATGGAGGAAATTGTAAGAATAAATCATTATTTATATCAATGACACAAAATTGTTTATTTTGTTCATGTAATTTCTTTCTTTCTCTGAGTTGATGAAATTTCTTTCTTTCTCTGAGTTGATGCAACTTCTTTCTCTGAGTTGATGGAGAAACAAACTTCCCGACATGCCAATCCTTTCATAGCAAGGCCTGAAATCCTTCCTAAAGTAGTAGTACAATGTTTATAAATTAAAACAATCTTTAGCCAAAAATTTTAGGCCAATCATAATTTAACAGCAACATGGATAATTTTATGATTGAATATGGCATGGCAAGAAAATACATATTTCAAGTCATATATATGTATTAAACTGTACAATATGATACTAGCTTGTAGTATGCAGTCACACATGATACCTTACAGGTAGTTGTATATCCTACAAACAATCGTTATCTGGGGATACCAAGATTAAGGTGGGGGAGGGGGGTGTTGTGGGTGGAGGGGGTGGGGGGGATGCACATAATATTTCCGGTTTTTATGTTCATTGTCTAAATGCTGCATTTTACATGTGCCAAGTCTAATGTGAATTTACATGGTTTGACTCAAATAATAAAGTTTGACTCAAATAATAAAGTTTGACATTTTGATTTACATGTTGAATTTATGTACATACCGGTACGTAGTAAACATATGTAACTTATACATTTGTCCAAAGTGGCAAAGTAATTACTTTGCAATTATACCCACTCTCCCCTTGATGAGCAAAATTGTCTGACATTAGACAGTAAGATAGTAAAGTACAATAGATAATCTGATTAACCCATTGAGCAGTAGCACTCTCACACTGACCAGTACACTCAATCATCTGGCATGTTAAACTGAGTAAAATAATTTGGTAGCACTTAAAAGGTTGAACAAACTTTTCTAGACTTGGCACATGTAAAATGCAGCGTTTAGACTGGACGTATTAAACAGAATATATGTTGTCTGTATGTGTACAGTCTTGCAGATAACCATTAATTAATATAGCAAAGAAAGAATATTGAGAAACAACCAAATATATCAGTATCACTCACTCACCATTCAGTAACAAGATTGGGCTTCGTCCACAACTATCGCTTTTAAATTGTCTGTATATTTCGTCGATTATAATAAAAATTCAAAAACTTTCATGTTCTCCAATTGATTGCTGTCCGTATACAATGACTCTCCCAAACTACACATTGTATCCTTCGATTCATCAACTTGAACAGCTTTCATAATTGAAACATTTACATGATCCTTTAGTTTACTGATTTGGTCAATCATTAAAACATTTAATGGTGAAATAACCAGATCAAATTAATGTTTATCTTGCATGTAAAACATTATTTCTTTCGAGAAATTCTCAAAGTTCACTCCTTGCAAAAAAAGATGCAGAGTCAGCATTTTATTACGTTTACTTCCGGCAAACTACAAGATTTTTGAAGTTCCGGTTTTGGTTTTCGCCAGGGCCTCCGGCAACGCAGTGTCAGCCGTGAGGCCCTGGGACCGAGGATGGCGTTAGGCAGAGTAAAATATAAAGTAGGGTACATCTGGGCACATATATTGCCACTTATAATTAAAGGGTTAATACAGAAATTTTGTATTTCATAAAGTATTACAAATTTACAATGCTTTGAAAGGGATAATTATAAGTGAAACCCACCTGTTGTGGACTTAAAAGTAAAATTGTGAACTGATGATGCAGAACCACTGGTAGCTAGGTAGCTACCAGTGGTTCTGCATCATCAGTCCACAATTTTACTTTTAAGTCCACAACAGGTGGGTTTCACTTATAATTATCCCTTTCAAAGCATTGTAAATTTGTAATACTTTATGAAATACAAAATTTCTGTATTAACCCTTTAATTATAAGTGGCAATATATGTGCCCAGATGTACCCTACTTTATATTTTACTCTGCCTAACGCCAGACGATTTTACAATGGTATCATGCAATTAAGCCTGGAACAAATGGTCAGTTATAAATACCTATCTTGATCACTCAAATATCAATGGCTTGATTAATTGCAACTTATGATATTGCATGATATTTAATTCAGTATAAAAACCTAAAACATGTGTTAGAGATGCCAATGACAGTGCAGAATTTTTTTAAATGGTTCAATCAGAAGGCTCATACAGAGCCCCTGAATCTGCAAATCCGTCAGGCCTCCGCACAGATCCGTCGCAAATGGCCGTAACCATCGAAATAAACGTGTCAGCCAGTCAGATAGCCGCATTTAACCCCCGAATCCGCCAACTTTCATGCGTACGAACGCTGTACGTGACTGACTAACATTACTTTGCTGAAGTTCTGCCGCAGCATAAAACGTATAACTGGACTACCGGTTCGATTCAAAATTTTAGAATTTTTTTTTAAACAGACAATTGTTACTTCAGTCGCGCGACTGATTTGACGACCCCTAGATCCGTTCCTGGGTGCATGGGAACAGGTTTAGCAATGTACATGGATACCCATTATGATATAAATTTTACTTGCCAAGGGAATTTGTTGCTCAATGGGTTAGGCTTGGAAAAATAAATGTTGGATCTAATTAGACTAAATACAGTGGTTCATTAACCCACTGATAAGCTAGACTCTGATTTTTCCTGTGACAACTTAACTTCGTTGTATAGTAAACCTAAACGAAATATTGTTGGGCTGTTGCATCATTGCATTGTTGCACCAATAAAGTTTTACCAAAGATCTCCTTGGTGGAGAGCATACCAAGCTTGGCCTAATGACTTGTCATTTGAGCAGATATAGGCATGAGGATATATTCTTAAGCCTGGCGCACATAATGCGATATTAGTCGGCCGATAAAAATCGTTTGACTAAAACTACATTTGTTTTCAAGTTCTTTCTTTAAAAATTTTAGTCTGCCAAAAGTTTTGAATGATTATTGATCATCCTAGCCACACCATTGCGAGTGTACTGCATGTTTATAAGTGGATATGAGTGTATAAAATACAGTATTTAGGGGCTTCGGTGGCCAAGTGGTTAGCGCACTTGCCTTTCACCTCCGAGGCTGCAGGTTCGAGTCTCACTAAGTACCTTCTCTGTGCGACTCGAACCCAGTCCCCATGTGAAAAGAGTAAAAGTCAACGCTCTGCCGAAAGCCGTGGGTTTTCCCCGGGTACTCCGGTTTCCTCCCACAGGGAAAGTTGACAGGGTGGGTTAGGTAAAAAGGGCCCACAGTAATTGGCATATGCTGTTGTGGTGACCCTGCCCTAGTTGGCAAAGCTAAATAAATAAATAAGTATTAAACCTAGCTGGGATAGAATATTTGCAAAGCTGTAAACAAACATAGGTACTTAAACGTGCAGAAATAAATTTAGGAACACAGAAAAATAAAATGTGATTTTTTGTTGCATTTGTCTGTCATGTATGATGAATGGGTTGAAATATATTAAATTTTAATCAGTAGAAAGACAACAAATCAGGAATGTTACCACAAAAAATACAAAACCTGTAATTATTTATTAATTTTCCTACCTGTATGTCTGGTCGTTAATCTTTCTGAGCTGTATATAATTAGTCCTTCTGTTTAGCCGCTAACATTCCGAACCTTTTCTTTCGCTTTTGCTCGTAAACATCGAATCTCGCAACTTTTCGCCTTTGTAAAGACACGATTTGACGTTTTACATCACAATGTACGAAAAACAAAAAACATACAAACTTTAACACATGTCTTGACTTCTATACGGACCCAAAATTAAGTGAAAAGAGCCTTAACGAAGGAGCCCATACAAGCCGAAATTGTCACATTTTTACAACTTGAAATAAAAAGACGGCATTGAGCGAAATGCTTCGAGCAAAAAGCCTTCTATTTTAAAAATATTGCGTGGAACCATGGGAATATTCATATAATTTTAATCCTCTAGAAACCCTCTATTTCCCTATCACCCCCAAATAACCATCAAGGAAAACGCGCATAAATAACCATCAAGGAAAAAGCGCTCGATGAATTTAAGGAAATTTTCAATATTTTAATTCGCTACCAAGCTCCTTAATTTTACGCGCGCCAGCGAAAAATTGGTACATTTCGAATTTGCAATTTTGCGTGCAAATTAAAAATGCCAGGCGTGAAGTTTTTACATGCCAGACGTGTTATAAAACTTGACTTAAATAGCATAGTAGATTGTTAGATAGCTTTAAGGCCAATTCGAATTTACAAGTATTTTAGATTGAATATGTACCAATCAACGAAAGAAGTATAGACGACCCCAAAAATGCCATTTCTGACAATCCAGAGTCTCCAAATTCTCAAAATTTTCTCGTTCCGCGCCAACCATGGTGGCACTTCATGCGTTTTGCCCCCAACCCATATACTGCCCTTTAACATGTTAACGTATCATATTGGCCCAATTGTATTTAAACATGAAAAAAAATGCATAGCCCCCCCCCCCTACGGGGAACGTAGATCCTCCGCCCGGAAATTACTGGCGCCACCCCTGACAATGTTTTGTTGCCCACATTGTTCATCGTTGTAAACAATATCATTGCTCAACATTGTGACATCCAATTCAGGCCCAATAATATTGTTCAATATTGTTAACAACTGTAAGCAATTTGGACGACAGCAAATCATTGTTGATAAAAACAGGATTGACTAACAAATTGATCATTTTTTATATATGTATGCACGTATGAGTCATTAGGGTAGGATTATATAGGATTAGGACTTAGTTCAAGGTTGGGAATAACGGTTCAGGAAGGGATTAAGTTTAGGATTTTGGTTTGGATTATCATACAAAAAGTCTAAAATAGAGACAACCCCTAAGAGTGATAGGATAATTTTTTGTCGTGCAATTCCGGCACGAACAACTTGAAGCTTCAACCACTCAGAGAAAACTGTCTATAAGTTATGCTACTTATTTTGAGAATATACTAGATGGACTGAGGGCTTTTGTGAACGAGAACAATATATGAGCAATATGAAATACATCACATTTTAATATTTTAATTTCGACTTAAAGATATTGAGAAATACATGTTTTCATATTTATTAGCTATATATCTATAATTATTTTTTAACATTAATCAAGAAAAGTTTTTGACTGCGTAAATTGTGTGACAAGGTTATCATAATTATTGTTTTCTATTTGTTTTTTTTTATAATTTTCTACATAAAATATTTCAGATTCTATAAATGCCTTATACATGCATAGATATAATTACGTTGATTTGACTAAATCGGTCAGCGCAATAGGAAGGCGTTTTTTCGTGCTAAGCGACTTTATGAGCTGAAACTAATCATATACGTAATAGTCCTTTTCAATCTATTTAAGAATAAAGTTGCTCTGTGCGAAAATTTTTGTTAGTGTCAAATGGGCTAATGACGTTCTGTCATTTTGCTCAGATGTAGTAACTAGCTAAAATTCGAAATATAATTTTCTACGATATTTTGCTTCAAAGCCTATGCGAGTTTTCAGACTTAGCCTAACTAGGATTGCCGAAATTACCGCGAGACTGTAGTTTAACTCATGTAAACTATATTCTTCGATCATTTCATTGAAAGAAAGAAATGTCTACAAAACCTCGGCCTTATGTATGTTGGACTAGACTTTTGAAGAACGGCTTTGAAAAAAATGAGAGAAATTACGCAGTTAACAGAATCTTTAGTCACTATTCAATGTCTAATGACGAAAGAGTCAGCATGGTTGATGTGCAGTGGTGCCAACAAATCGATAATTTGAGGGAGGGCGGGTATTCATGCATTCGTGTTTTGCCTAATTAACTTCTTTTTTGAAATCGATTGCATGCACAGTATCACGCGAACACGAATATATGAATATTTGCCTCCTAATGATCGATCTACCGGCACCACTGTATTGATGAAGCACTCAATGTTCACCCAACACTATCCAACTAACTCTATTCAGGGCTTCACAGAAACCGGGAAATTCTGTCCACAAAAACTAACAGAGAAGCTTGAAATCAAACCGTTTGTGAACAGCCGAGGATTGAATGTCTCTCTAATGAACAGGTTGTATTGGATAAACATGCCCGAACCACCCATTCATTGATAACTTGGCAATTCACAACAACTCGAATTAGCCTTTTTCGTGCCGCCATTTTTGTTGTACTGCCTTTTCTAATTTCTTCATCGATTGTTATAAAAAATAATCATTATAAATTACCTCATGTTCAATATTTTAGAAATTGTTTTCACATCTCTTAGACTTTTCATGTCATTCACAACAAAAGTACAACAAAAATGGCGAATTTGGCCTTCGATCGTGAAAAAGGCTAAAAACTACAAAGATTCACTCGATCACTATTCACTATTGTTCGGTAAACTCTTGCGCCGAGTGGCAATTACTGTAATTGACTAACATAATGCTCATCATGTTCGATTTCCATTCGCGTCTCGGAATACACCTTCTTTTAAACCAAAAGTATAGGCTAGTTTTCCATGAATTGGGACAATTGAGTTGCCGGCGTTCTGTATTTGAACGAACCAGGAATGAGTCAATTTTTTTGCTCTTGGATGATTGACACGGTTCCTCTTTGTACGCAGAAGGTACAGAAATACCGAGGTATCAGCGAAGAATGTTTACCATTAATTAGGACAAAGTTTCAGTAATCGGGGTACTTCTATGACTTGGTAGATATGGATCTGAAACTTATGGAATATTTTCCCAAAAATATTTCCTGTTGATATCTCGTTGAATGAAGTGGTATTGCTCAATTAGTTGAAAGCATGCTAGCTATCCGGTTGTAATTTCTTGATGATATTGGATAATCCTGGTTTTTAAATGTTGGAAAGAATATCCAAGAAAGTACTTCGGAAATGTTGTTGAATATCTGTTTAAGTACACTGCACCTCTCATCTCCAGAACAAATTTTCGGACCGACGGTATCCACATACGTGATACAACCACATTTTGTGGTGACACATTTCTCGATTCATCAATTTGCGGAATTAATTTAATAGTTAAAGTACCGTAAAACTCCAGGATCTCTGCTTTCAAACAGTGTGAGAATGGCTTAATTAATTTCTTCCCATACCGCATGTTCCATATCGTATTATTAATCACACTTTTAAGTTCCATTTCCAATATTTCGTTTTTAAACTATCATATTAAAGGGTAACAATCGTCAGTGATAAAGTTGAAAGAAGTTC